GCAGAAAACTGTTTAGTAAAACTTTAAGGCGTATTTCTTGCGTGCAATGTGCAACAATTTGCATTAAAAAATCTGGACTAGATGTGCAAAAGCCTTCAGACAGGTGCACAACTTATTCTATAGACTGGCCAGCAGTCATAGACTTATAGCATAGCATTTGTTTCCTCTTCAGTTATATCATATAGATTAAGTACTAAAATTACAGGCAAGGTAAATAAATGTGATCAAATGAATAAAACAACCATCAGCATGTAGCAGGCTCCTGTAAACGTGTGCTTTTTTTGTCTACTACTATTAAAGTGTTACTATTTCACCTGTTTAATTAGACCTCACTTTATCGCATAATTCTTGGCCCCAGCATTAATAACACACAGTGTTTCCATCACAGTTACTTTCCTCCGTGAATAAGAACCCTCTGAAGAACTCAGTCACCTAACCTGATTTTCCACCAGAGGAACCAGGCTCTAACATTATGTTCACACTGCAAGCTGTAGGGCTCAATTCAAATTTTGTTTCTAGATCCGATTTTTTATGAAGTTGTTCACATTGTCTTTGAAAATATGGCTATCAGACTCTATGTGATCAGCCCTGATGTGACCCACTTCAAGTGTTGCTTGTACAGACACGTCACTTCAGGTACTTATGAGGTCTAAAACATCACTGTCCCTCCACTAACTACCTCTGTTGCAGCTTTCATCCTGCCTGCCCCTTTGCCTGCTCAAAATTATGAGGAATGTTGATCTACAGTGACTTAAAAGTTGCAATGACTTTCAATACATGTCACATGGCTGTTCAGACTGAGGTCGTATTTCAAAAAATCGGATCTGTAACTGATTAAGAGTCACATATGTATCTGATTTGAAAAGATCAGATTTGTGCTGGTCATACTGTCATTAAACATAGGGGGAGGGGGATTAGGGTTAGGGTAAGCCATGACTGACTAGCGCCATATCTTAACGTACATTATCCTAAGACATTCTACATAGTAAGGTCCATACCTTAAGAAATATCATGAAATAGACATTTGTCAATGTTCCACCCTTTATCTCAGACAGATTTTTTCTTTTCTGTAAATACTTTAAGAATTGATAAACCCCTCCATTTATGTAAGACACTTTTTTTCTCATGAATGTTGTAAATATTGTTATTTATTATTGCTCTTACACACAATAACTATTAACTACTAACTACTATAGCACTTCTGTCAAGGGAGTGGGATCCTTCATGCTCTCTCTGAGGTTTCTACATTTTGTTTTCCTGTTCAAAGGGTTTTCCTTATTATTGCTGAGGGTTAAGATAATGTCACACCTTGTTAAGGCCTATGAGGCAAATTATGATTTGTGAATTTGGGCTTTACAAATAAGATTTGATTGCAATCGATTGATAGTTTGTCAGTGGCTCCTGCATTGCCCCGTACATGGCAACAGGTCATGACCAGGACAAAAAATGTGTTTTATTGTTTTGCTGCATGTGTAAAAATGCTTGGTAGAATGGTAGAATTGTCCATATTTGCTGTGACTTGCTATGATATTTTATGAACAACTGTCAGTTAACATCCTGCACATCTACACCTAATTGTGTTATCATCTTTTTAATGATCCTAAACTAGAATTTATAATAATATTCAGTAGACTTGAGCAATGCTCAAGTGTACCTATGGACCCACCTGTCGACACAGACGGTTTAATAGTGCTGTGTAGATCCATGACGGTGACAGGAAACCTATATGCTATGTTGCCCTCTGGTGGCTGCAAAACAAATCCATTAAAGTCAGAATCTTTTAGTGGAGTCATCTATCAACAAATGTCACAAAGATGAAGAGAAGAGTTGGGGAAAGATCTGCATATGAGTGAATAAGAAAGCAAAGGGAGATAAATATGAAGAAATTGAAATAAGATCACAGGAATTTGGAATTGCCTGTGACAGAACTATAACAATTGATGAACATATTCACATTCAAATATATAAAAAGACAGAAGATAAAACTTGTGATATGACATAGGCTCATATCATACGCATTTCATACACATTGCGCCATGCATACAAACATAAAATGTAGTGTATAAAGGGCTTAGATGGCATATGATTATTGCACAGTTCCCCTAGTTAAGAAGGTCAGGGGTGTTGTAGGCAGTTTTCATTTCCAAAAGCTCAGAGGCAATAGTGTGTGAGGGACAAGCCCTCTTTACCGAGAGACTCTACACAAGGGACGAAGCAGTGAGAAAGTTGAATAACCCTTTTTGGTTCGTGCTCACGTGGAGGTGGAAGGTAATGAGAAGGCAGATATATTGATAAAACAGTCATTCAAACGATTGTCTATCGACATTCAGGTCCCCTTTAGCAAAGCAGAAATAAAAACTGTAATATACTTCAGCGAAACAGGACAAAAGACAATTATTTCATTTTTGTTGTGTTTAGTTTTGTTTGCCAATCTACTGCTCCGCACTCCAGTCCAGAAGGTGGCGGGAATGCACCTATAAGCTAGTTTGCCGACCGCCAATAAACACCAGAAGAAGAAGAAGTCGAAGAAGAAGAAGAAGAAGGAGGAGAAGAAGAACAAGAACAACAACAACAACAAGAAAACGAAGAAGAAGAACAAGAAAAACAACAAGTAGGAGAAGGACAAGAAGAAGAAGAAGAAGATTAGCTCAGTAGCAACACCAGTGATCAGTGAGACCTCAGGTGTCCACGCTGTTCTCGCCCTGCTACAGGAGTCACCTGAGGACCTGTCATGTCTGGACTACACAGTCTGAAGGCTTTCATCAGCCAGCGGCTCACTGCGGCGGTGGAGGAGGTCATTGGCCGATTAGAGACAGTGATAAGCGAGTATGAAGAGGAGATGGAGAGCCGGCCGCTTAGGCTGATGCACACTGCCCAGCGACAAACAGGTCGGTAAAATAATTATAGTAATAAAAATAATAATAATAGTAATAATAATGGGGTCAGTGATGAGCCAAAGAAAACCTTCACTCATAAACTGTTGCTCACTTAGCACATGCTAAACGTGTCCCCTGGGTTCAGACTCACCAGTAATTCTCTCCATCTGTCAGTACTGCAGCCAGAGAGATTCACACATTGACCTGAATAGAAACCTTCTCTGTTCTGTTTATTGGCTGTGGGATTGCCTCTGCTACATTTGAACAAATTGCCCCTGACCGCTGTGTCATTCTCAGAGAAAAACTGCTGCTCAAAGATGCACTTTATGAATGTGTGTGTGTGAATGTCAAAAACACTGTACTGTAAAGTGCTGTGAGTGGTCATCGAAACTAGGAAAGTGCTACATGAATCCAGACCATTTAACATTCATTTCTTCTTCACTACTCTAAATGCAGAACTTTCCATCAATACTACAATACAAAGTTCTGCTGTCTTGAAGCCGCAAATACAAAGTGAGTTCTGGGAAACAAAGATTTGCATGAAATAACTGACTGATATATATTATTAAAATATTTGGTATCAGACCAGTAAATAGATTTGTATACTCGCCAATGCCCGACCTAGCATTATTAGTAGTGTGTTTTATTTATACTAAAAACAAGCTATGCAAAAAAAATTATCTTTGGTGAACATTAACATGGATTAAGTTTTGAAGCTTAAATGAGACTTTGTTGTCATGTATTCCAATGTTTTCTGCAGGTGTGCAGCAACATTTGGTGATTAAAGAAGAGGTTCTGTCTGAGCAGCAAGAGTGGATCTCCAGCCCGGACAAGCAGGACCCAAAGTGGCCACACGTTAAAGAGGAAAAACAGGATCTCTGCACCAGTCTGCAGGCCAGGAGTCCTCTGCAAGGACTGCATGAGGAAAATATCATCAAGTTCCCTTCCATGCATGTTCATTTGAGAAATGAAGATGAAGCGAAATCTCAGTCCTCTGTGTTTCATCACACGCCATTGAGCGACTCAGCCAATCATGTGAAAACAAAACCTGATGAAGAGGGCGGTCAAGCCCAAGAAGCTGACAGGATCTTAGTGTCTGGTTTAAAATGCCTGTCCAGATTTGGCGATAAGACTGTACACTGTTCTGAATCTCAGACTGATGACAGTGATGATGACTGGAAGGAGGTTAGGAAACCTCAAATAGATTTGAATACTGTGAAAGCGAACATTCCAGTCCATGATATGGGACACAATATCGACAATAAATTGTTTCGCTGCTCAAATTGTGGGAAAAGATTTGGACAGAAGCACCATTTGCAGACACATATGAGATGTCATACCGGAGAAAAACCCTTTACTTGTTCTCTTTGTGGGAAAAGATTTTCTCAGAAGGGGAATCTGAAACAGCACCTGACAGTCCACACACGTGAGAAACCATGTCGCTGTACCATTTGTGGTGAAAGATTTTCACAGAAAGGAAATCTGACACAACACATGACAGTCCACTCAAGGGAAAAACTTCAGAGAGGACAGAACTCCATTTATGACTAAAGATTCAGTAAACACATGCATCGTAAATGCATAGTGATGGAAGCTGCAGTCAATGAAGACTAGGTTTTCTTTTATTTTGAAATTAATCAGTTGTTGTTGGCTTAGAGGGTTGACCCCATCAATCATCATCGAACTATTCTATTGCCAATATTCACAAATCACAATTTACCTCATAGCCCTCAACAAGGGAAAAAACTACCAAAAGAAAAAAAAAAGTTTATCTGGAATAAAGCATAAAAACGTGAGGGATCCCTGTCCCAGGACCAACAGAAGTGCAATAGATGTCACTTGTAACAGAGCACATCAACTAAATAATATTTATTACTTCCATGAGAAAAGACAGTGTTTAACTTAAAATAGTGAGGCTATCTCGGCCTACGGCAGCATGAGAGTTGGTCCAAAGCAGACATGAGCCAGCTCTATAGCCATAAGCTCTACCAAAAAGAAAGGTTTTAAGCCAGCTCTTAAACATAGAGACAGTCTTAACCAGGAGATGATTCCACAGGAGAGGAGCTTGATAGCAGAAAGCTCTGGCTCCTACTCTACTTTTAATGACTTTACGGACAACAAGTAAACCTGAATTCTGGGAGCGCAATGATCTAGTGGGGTGATACTGTACTTTGACCTCTTTAAGGTATAATAATTAAGAGCTTTATGATGAGGAAAAATTAAAATCTATTCTAAATTTAACAGGAAGCCAGTGTAGTGAAGCTAATACAGGAGACATGTATTTTTTGGTTCTTGTCCTGTCCTATAGCAGCAACAGTGTTTATACACACATTTATACACTGTTGCTGCATGATTTGTTGTCTTGACTGCACCATACTCATGAAATCTGTGACACACACTCATCTGTCAAGTCATATGTCTCTCAGCCTCAAGTACAGGTGCCCTTTATGTAAATGTTCAGTGTTGATTTGAAATAGGAGTGATCAAATGGAAGAAAAAACTAAACTGCAACAGAAAATAAGAGGAGGAAGATAGGACAGGACCCCTCAGAGTGTAGACCCTGGTGGTGGAGAATGACAAAGCATGACATCTAGTGCCTGCCGAATACATGCCGAAAGATGATAGGTCAGATATAGTTGCAGGATTGTGAGTGAAAGGATGTAGGAAAGCAGAAGTGATTGAGAGAAATAGCTAGTGTATAGATAGCCACAGTAACAAAGTAGAATGTGACAGATGAGATGTTGCTCATGAATTTTCATTAAAACTTTATTATCATTGTACGGGCTTGTATCTAGATTTGGAGCATTGTCCTGGTAGGTGGCTTTAGAGAGCCTCTGTGTTAGGCCTGGTAGACATGCGACTGATGTGTTGAGGGAGATATGGAAACAAAGATGGGTTTTATTGTTCTACTGGAAATCTAATGAGGTTTCGTGTGTATCTAGTTGTGGTGTGACTGTGTCCTGATCCAGTTTGAGGTATTCTCTGTTGCCCCATGCTGAAGAGGTTTGCCATAGATAATTCTCTTGTTTTGTTCAACTTTCAACATATCACTAATAATAAACTAACTCTTTAGGATAATATTCAGCTCTCATCTCTCCTCTGTATGAGCCACATACTGAGCCAGTTAAAGAGCCAGACTGCTGCTTTGACTGCACCAATTTTCCAATGCTGTCAGGTCAAAAGCATCTGCCGAGTTTTAGTTGCTGTTTATCAACCATTGTCTTATATTTTTGATCCAAAATCCATTATATAATGTTGCTGCTTGACTCATACACACATCTTGCATGCAATGTGGTAGGCCTGAAATGATGTTGACACTCAAACAGTGTAGGCTTGTTTTTTTTTCTTTTCAGTGTAATATGCAGTACTACTAGTGATCACAGTCTTCACACGTGATGCTTTCTATCGGGGTCTGCAATAGAATATCCCTGCTCTAAGTACTCTGCCTATGTAACTGGAGTAGTTATTGGCTTTGACTCATAATCATTTTGTCTTTTTCTTGATTTCTCAGGTCCTCCATAGCAGTCATACTATTTAAATGTGAACTGAATGAAAGACTCCTGTTTTTCTCTTAAATCCCAAAAATGTCATTGTGCCCACACTCAGGCATTGGGGTCAATTATGACCCATAGGCGGATGTAGAGAAATATCTGACTGTCTACACACTGTGTTGAGTCACACCTTTGAATGTATATATTCTTAGTTTTGTATTGTATTGCATTTGACTTTTTTATTGTAAGCTCTTTTTACCTTGCTTCTGTTTAAATGTAACTATTGCTATTGCTGACTGGTTTCTTCTTATTCAACACCTTTCATTGTACTGTTCACCCTGTGTTAACTGCATATGAAAAATAAAAGTTGTTCACCTGGGATCCAAAATCAAATGTTTCCCACAAAAGCGGAACAAAGATGATCTGACATCCCCTAGGTGGGACTGATAGGGACTAGTTCGCAGTCCATCAAAGGTAGGTGCGTGGTCTGGAGTGTGTGTCCACAGGCAGCCTGTGTATGATGCAGTGTGTCACTCAGTGGGGTTCACACTGTGGAGGTGGGTGGTTCACTGTGTTGCAATGACCCGGGCGTGGGGGGGCGGTCCGGTGACGTCACTGAGCGGGAGCCGGAAAGGGAAGGTTGTACAAACACGATGGTCTCATGCTCTCAACATGTCCACGCTTCAAACGCTGAAGACGTTTATTAACCAGCGGCTCGCAGTGGCCGTAGACGACATATTTGGTCTGCTGGAAACAACCATATCCAACTATGAGGAAGAGATGGACCGACAGCGCAGACTGCGGGAGGACGAGAGGTCTGAGTTCCTGAATAACAGATCCGGTCAGTGTTCACGCAGGGACTCACTGCTCACTGTCGACATCACTGTTTGTGTGTGTGGCCGGGTTATCGTCAAAATGTTGCCCTTGTCTCATTTCATCATTTACATCTATAATCCAGTGTGCAGCCTGTAGTAGTTTTTGCCTAACCAACCAAAATCTGTTTGCGTAGACTCACTGTAAGTTGGAGTCCTTCATGCTAATGACGGTCAATCTAAGTTGCAGCGGTGAATTTTCAAATCCATCAGTTATTCAATCTATGAAAACATTTTTCCCCTTTGCTCTCTCTTCCATCTCTTGCACAAGGTCCCTGACACATGCAACTCAGTGTGTAAATGTGCTGTCAGGCCTGAACAAAACTGCAAGAAAATGCAGCCAGCCGCTGCAGTAGACATCATCTTTGTCTGAATGACAAAACGCTGTCACTGGAACTGATAAATGCATGTGTCTCATGTCTCAAAGGGTTTTAGTCTCTGTTAAAAGCCACAGGATCTTTCATTTACCATAATCCAACCATCAGCATATCTATTTTTTGATCATGGTTAACAGTAGACTGCATATAAAGATGCACCTCTCAACTCTACATTTTCAAACTTTAAATTAATATTGTAATTGAACATGCACCAATGTGATGAGGATTACCAAACCCTTCATTTACTTTGACTTTTTACTTTGGTCCATGCCCCTTCTGCTTACATGGAGGGGGCAGGGGTTTTGGCCCATACTGTAGCCAGCAACCAAGGGACGAGCTCGATCTTTTGGCTTCACTTTTGGTAGCTGTCATGTCATCCATCTTTATTTACAGTCATTGATACTTACCCAGAAAATGCTAAGTCACTTTAAACTATAACCAAATAATTTGTGATTCATGTTTTATATTTTAAATTTCTGCATGTAAATGGTAAATGGTTGTATTTATATAGCGCTTTTCTAGTCTTGATGACCACTCAAAGCACTTAACACTACAGTATTCCATTCACCTATTCATACACACATTCATAAATACAGTGCTTCTATTGGTAGCACTTTTTGTTGTTCTATTCTATATTTTCAAGCTCAAATAGCCCAGATGACATCAATGTGACTTAATCAAGGTTATTATTTGGCATAGCCAAAGACATTTTACAAGAGTTACAACTGTCAGGCACATTAACTCTACATATGACCTCTAAACTAACCTTTGCATTATGATGATCCTGCTTTTTTTCTTTTCTTTTAAAGGAAATAGTAGGTCTGTATGCGGTGTTGTAATTCTCCAGTTTGAAGCTGAAACTGGCAGATTACCATGCATTCTGGTCTAAATAGGACAAAAAGTGGTCTTATTTTAAAGTGAAAATGAATCCTGGATTAAAGTCAGGAGACATCAATGTACTTACAGTTCAAAAAGTAAAACTACAGAAATTAATCTTCACAACACCCTCACAGACTGTCTGGATGTATCCTAGACACAGATAGTAGACTAAAGATCAGAAGCCAGAGAGTTTAGCTTGTTTTTCACCTCAATTTTTAAATTGTATTTGTATTATTTCACTAAAACTATTGTTGCAAATAATCTAATGGGTTTTTAGCAATAATATAAAAGGTCCCTTTTTGCCTTTGTTTGATGAATTATCCAGAATTGTTTTTTAAAAATCTCAAATCCAACATAAATGTTAATACTTTTAAAATATTAAAAATAGTTATAATTTTAGAATAGAAAAACTATCAGGGTATAAAAGCTCTTTTTTTTTCTTCACAGATATGCAACAAGCCATGAGGTTTCGGGTTATCATCGATCATGATATCAAGAAGATAACTTTTGAAAATGGCCTCCCCTCATCTGTGGAGGACATGATCAAAGTCTTCAAACATGCATTTTCCATTACCTCAGAAATAGGCCTTCAGTACAAAGATGCAGACTTTGACGACTTCTTCACACTAACGTCTACAAGTGACCTTAAAGATAAAGACACTCTCAAAGTCGTGCATGTGCCTCCAGACATAATAATTACCACAGTCCCTCTGGAGTCCCACCCCGACACCACTGACGCATCTTCAGTGGACGATCTGCTCTTTACTGATTCACAGGACAATCTGATTCCAAGGCCCCCTGCTACTGAGAGGCACAACCTGTGGCCTGCTGTCTTTCCCATTCCCACCTTCTCCTACAACACGGAAATGGCTCTGAGGCAAGGTAATGAGAGGTTTCTAAAAGATGGAACCCCACTGACAACACCAAGTGTCAAATCAGACATTCTGGAGCGACTGGCTGAGGCCATGTTCTCCTACACAGCTTATCCCAATGATCCACAGAGGGCTGCAGTTGCACAGGCCCTAATAGAGAAGCACCCCTGCCTTAGGGAGCCCGGCTCTTTCAATGGATTTTATGGGTGGCAGCAAAGCCTCAAGTACAAATGTGGAAACTACAGGAGCAAACTTAAAGCTCATGGAAACCCTGAACTAATGATAAATACACTGAAACACAAGCAGGATTGTGACAAAAAACCTGCCAAAAATATCAAAAAACCAAGGAAATCTGAGGTTAACTACCTCCCCCCGTATCCAGTCGGTGAAACAGATGACAGCCTGGAGAATGTGAGAACTGAGCTAATTGCAGCCAGAAAGACAGAAGACAATAGACTGAAGATCAATGATATGATGTCCAGAACATACAGCTGCAGAAGAAGGGAAGTGGTTGGCCAGTCCACGCATGTGGTAGAATTGAAAGAGAGATGGCCTGCTCTCTTTGATCCATTTCAGGTAAATAAACTGATTATCACTGATTCACTAATTATCCTTTTGTCATGCATTTTGGTGCATCTCCACATGTGTCTCCAGTGATCAGATCTCACTGAAATGCAGATAAACAGGTACAACCTTTTAGTTCACAAAGACCAACATTTAGTCTTTAGCTAGTCTGAGTATACATACAAGTTAATTTTTTTTAGCATTAATTAATTTATTTATTTGTGTTTCTTGTTTCTATTTGTATTAATTTATTTGTGTCAGTCCATTTGACACTGCCAGAGGGGTGCAGCCTGCCATAATTTCAGTGTCTACAATAATGTAGAAAAACATTTATTACTCATTTGTGGGGATTTCCCCAAAAGAGAACTGTAGGTTGTGGCCAGGGAAGCAGGTGTGTCTTCAAGAAATATCCCTGGACATATTACATGATGACTTTTACATATTGTCTTCACCATTGGTAATCAAAAGCAAAATCTTGTCACACAGATAAATGAAGAGTTTCGAAGGTGCAACACCATTCCCCTGGAGTCGACGTTTCTGTCCCAGCTGGACAAGTACACCCCAAAGTTCCTGGAACTATTCAGCACAAAGGGAGGAGTTGTTGGGCAGCGCCTGAAGAGTGTGTTGATGGAACTGGAAAAGGTGAGTTGAGGTGGTTAAGAAGTAACAAAGTCAAGTAATACATTCATCTGGAGCAACACAGTGGATCTGGATTTGTATTTTGTTTGCAACATGGTTTGATAAACAAAATTGATCAAGACCTGCTGTTGGTACTGTCATTCTTGGCTCAAAGCTGTCTGTGACGTGAGAGCTTGTACTCATGATCAAATGATCCACTGTAGCGGAGCGGTCGTCCTCCAATCAGAAGGTCGGATGTTCGATTCCCAGTCCTCCCATCTGCATGCCAAAGTGTCCTTGGGCAAGATGCTGAACCCCAAATTGCCCCATAGAACAACAATAAAAGTGCTACTCTAGATGCACTGTATGTATGAATGTGGGTGAATGGCAAACTGTAGTGTAAAGCTCAAGTCTTCAAGACTAGAAAAGCGCTATATAAATAAAACCATTTACCATTTACTGTAGGACCCACATGCCTCAGTGGTGAAGAAAAGGGACATGACTCTGAGATGCCTCGTCAAATACATGGGGGAGAGTGTGCAGGAGCTCATCTCTGACTACTATGTAAGTATGGTTCTTTGTGGAAGCTCATGTTCAATTGTTTTCCTATCATACAGCATATGTTTTATTTCAGTGTGCTCCTCTGGTACTGACCTTTTCACATAGAGGAAGAAGAAATCACTTTTAGTGCATAGCAGTTGATTGGGTGTTATTATTAGCACTAGACTTGGATAATATCACACTGAAATCCATTTAGAACCCCCAACACTTACACAAACATGTTAGTAAGAGTTTGCAGCAGCAGCCTGAGGCTATTCATAATAGCTGAAACACATTAGAGAACATGGGATTTTTAGAAGATACAAAGGTAAAAATGGAGAACATACATAAAACCAAGAATAGTCAGTGCCTACGCACTGACTGATTAAACAGGCAATGTGCTCTCTTAATAACATCAAATATTAAAATGAATAGAAAAATGCTTTGGAGGATTCTTTCTGTCTCCTGTCTAAATGAGAAGCATTAATATGACATCTATAGTGTTTCAAATGATTCGTCCTATTTTATTAAGGTCTTTGTTAGACATTTGCAAACATTTATTATTTTAATTAGCGTTATGATATTCTAATATCATTTATTGTGATTCAGTGTTGAACATTTTTATTAAATTAAAATAAATGATAATGTGTGAGGAAATGGACAATATTTTCTTAACTTAATTAGTATGGCTTTTTAAAAAGGACAAAAAAATACAACTGAACAGATGTGAATGAAGGGTGTCTTCTCTATTTTTCACAGAATAAATGTTCATAAAGGAAAATATTGAGGCCTCTGGCTCCCCATTCAAACACAATTCAATTCAATTTTATTTATATAGCGCCAAATCATAATAGACATTATCTCAAGGCACTTAACATAGAAGGTCAGGACCTTAAAATCAAAATATAAAGAAACCCAACAGTTCCCACAATGAGCAGCACTTTAGCGACTGTGGAGAGGAAAAACTCCCTCATTAACAGGGAGAAACCTCTGGCAGAACCAGGCTCAATGTGGGCGGTCATCTGCCTCGACCGGTTGGGGTGAGGAAKGAAAAGTAAGGGGGGAGGAGATGAGAGATGGGTGGAAAAGAGGGGAGAGAAGAGAGAGGGATAGTGGAGAGGGGGAAGAGATATCTGAAATGAGAGAGAAAAAAGAGAGAGAGAGAGACTATGGGAGTACAAAGTGAAATAGTCATTGACATGTGTTAAAATAAATAAATGAGTGAATGTGGGGGGGATAGAGAGAAATGGAGAGGTGCTCAGTGGAGGATGGGAGTTCCCCCAGCAGTCTAGACCTAGAGCAGCATAACTAAGGGATGGTTCAGGACTCACCTGATCCAGAACTGACTATAGGCTTTATCAAAAAGGAACATTTTAAGTTTAACTTTAAATGCAGAGATGGTGTCTGCCTCCTGAACACAGAATGGGAGCTGGTTCCACAGGAGAGGAGCCTGGTAGCTGAATGCTCTACCTCCTGTTCTACTCTTACAGACTCTTGGAACCACAAGAGAGCCTGTGTTTTATGAATGAAGTGATCTATTTGGATAATACGGTGTTATTAGGTCTCTGATGTATGAAGGGGCTTGATTGTTAAGGGCTTTAAATGTGAGGAGCAGGATTTTTAAATCTATTCTGAATTTTACAGGGAGTCAGAAGCTTAGACAAGAGTAATATGATCTCTCCTTCTAGTTCCTGTCAGCACTCGTGCTGCAGCATCTTGGACCAACTGGAGACTTTTTACAGATTTCCTGGGACATCCTGATAATAAGGAATTACAGTAATCTAGTCTAGAGGTAACAAATGTGTGGACTAGTTTCTCAGCATCCTTCTGAGACAGGATGTTTCTAATTTTGTTAATTTTGCAGGTGGAAGAAAGCTGTCCTAGAGACTTGTTTTATGTGTTGGTCAAATGACATGTCCTGGTCAAACATAACTCCAAGGTTCCTCACAGTTGAGCTGGAGGCCAAACTGACACCATCCAATGTAACTATCTGTTCAGACAGTGATTCTCTAAGACGTTTAGGGCCAATTACAACGACCTCAGTTTTGTCTGAATTCAGAACACAGATACCTCAGATATGCATGGTAATGCAGCTGTTGGGGTGGGGTTTGATACTCATATCTCTGTATAGAGAGGAATGTGTTGCTCTCATTGGTTGATAACATTGTAAACTGAATATTTTGAGCTTTGGACTTGAAGTTGAACAACATTTTAAATTGATAATGGAATGATTGTTAATTGTACCCCTACAGCACTAGGCATATGTCCATGTAAGATCAAAACAATTTAATAGGCCCGACACATCTATTGTATTGATGAATAATGCAGTTCAGTCTAAAGTGTAATGCACATAGAGCAGGACATCTGAAAAGCGTCGGCTCTGTAGTCTGAACATGTTGAATTTGAGAAAAGTGGGACAATGCTTTTAAATGAAGCATCACACGAACTTGTTTATATTGATTATTTTAAATGTTCTTCCTGTAATCAACACATTAATAACTGTTTTGCATGTGTTGTGTTGTAGAGAACAGCAGAAGAGAAAGTGCATGAGGACCTTAAAACACAGGAAATGAGGATCTACGCTTGTCATCAGCCGGATGCAGTGGGCATCATCATTGATGGAACTCCGGTGCTGACAGGACTGGATAACGTGTCCAGAGCCTGCTGCCTGCTCCTTGGCCTCATCTATGCACTAAATCTGGATTATCCTCCAAAACTTGCCAAAACATTTGAAGTCTTTCAAAGACTATTTGTAGGACTTGATACGCTACAGTCAAAACCATCCTCCAAGTTCATCAGCCTGAAAAACAAACTCCTCACTTAAGCAATCGCTCTAAACCACTGGTGTGGTCAAGTGTGTTATAATTTGGAGCTGGAGAGGTTTCTGGTTATTTGATGCCTTTACTGAATGTTCTTAACTGGCAGAAGAGTTTTGATGAATACAGGTTAAAAACACTGTAGTTCACTTTGCTCTAGTTGTGACTGGTTCTGTGGTCAGTTAATGTGGGTTTTATATGTCCAAGAGATTTCTGCTTCTGCCCCAGTCCAATGGAGGCGCTGTTTAATTTCAGGCTATTGATTCTGAAGAGAGATATTTGTTTGAGATTGTTTTAAATTTCACTAACTAAAGTTCCATTAGTCTGAAATGTTACTTTCATGTCACATTCATGTGAGATGGTTCCAATTTAATATTGGTTTCAATATATATCACATTGTTGATTATGTGGTTTATCCTAAACCTGCAATGGAAGTAAAACTTTTGTGAAAAATAATGTTGATAAAGTTTTAGAGTGACCGCTTTTATACATTTTGTAAACATTTCATTTAGTAAGATTTTCCACTGTTCTGCAGGAAATTATAATTGAAAAAAATAAAAAAATGTTTTGAAAAAACGAATTATCCACAATATTTTCCAGGGGATCATAGTGTATCACTGAACTCAAGAAAAGTATTGGGTAGATCATCGTGAACCCTTCACACGAATATTGGCTACATCTTACATGGCAAACTGGCCTTGAAGAGAGACTACTGTTGGGATTAACAAATAGTGGGTCAAAAAACTTTTCTCTACTTAAAGAGAAATGGAGAGGGAACAGGTGAGAGGGAGAGAAGAGAGAGAGACAGTTGTGTAACCATCATATTTAAGCTCTCAGACTGGTTCTAACGAATATAATAAGTGATATTTAAAAAAAGTTATGATGTTATTAATAATAGCAGCACCAGTTAATAATAACAATTGTCGCATAGTGTCAAATCTCTGCAGCTCTGGACTCAGAAATCCCTGCAGAATGAGAGGGAGATGGAGCACAAACTATGGGAGAAAAGCTATTGACATGTAGTAAAGTAGGCCTATAGCAGCATAGCTAAGGGATGGTTCAGGCCACACCCAAGCTGGCCATCTCTAAAATGTAGAGATGGTGTCTGCCTCCAGAGCTGAGAGTCAAAACTTGGAGCTGGTTCCACAGGAGAGCAGACATTGGAATCTAGATGTTGGCTCTGTAACAGAATCTCGTGATTTATGGTGTCAAATAAAAAAAAGAGCCAGGACATGTATTGAGATGAGCCCATTGTCCGAGGCCATGAAAGGTTTATTGGTAACTTTTAACAGTGTTGTTTCTGTGCTGTGATGGATGCTAAGGCCTTATTGAAAGTCTTCAAACAAACCCTTCCTGTGCAAATAATCACACAACTGGTCAGCAACAGCTTTTTCAAGGATTTTAGAAATGAACAGAAGCTTTGTTGTATGTCTTAATTTAGCCAAAACATGAGAAGGCTTTTTGATCAGATGTTTAATTACTGCTAACATAAAAGCATACGGTAGGAAGCCTTTTGACAGAGATATATTCATCTGATTCAATAAAGAACTGTTAATTCAAACTGCCTTAGTTGGGATAAATTCTAATAGACAAGTTGAAGGAAGTTAAATGAAGAGTCAGCTCAGAAAGCTCTATAGACCTAAAGTGGTCTAAATTTGAAATCTGGTGCTACATTTGGTTTTAAGGCTACTGTATTAGACAGCATCTCTGTGCTATTTGGGAAATCATTGATGGTGATGTGATGACCCTGTTTGCGTTGGGTTGCTGTATGTGTGTGTCCTATCTTGTGTTGCAGGTTCCTGGTTTGGGTGGAGCTGGAGGCTATCAGATCTCTCAGATAGAATATAAAAGACCTGCTCATCCTGGTAATCATATGATCTGATCATGCAGACCAATTACCATATCGCTTAACTCGCTTAGGGGTATAGAGCAGGTCATCCTGTAAACAGAATGTTGGTTGGGCAAGATACTGAACCGCATGTGCTGCCCATAGATGCACTGTATTATTGTGTGTTTGAATGGCAAAAAAAAAAAAACTACTGTAAAGCGCTTTGAGTGGTCATCAAGACTAGAAAAGCGCTTTATAAATACACAAGACCATTCACCACAGTCTGAGGTTTAGCAGATGATGAATGAAAGGGTGTTTGGCACAGCGCAGATCAAGCTTGATCCACAGCGGAGGTCTTGTAGAGTTTGTGAGTCAGTCCAGTGTGCTGCAACATTTTCTCCTTTGTCAAAAAGGAAAGTCAGCAGAAATGTGCTAAAGGCTTGATTATGTTTTTTGTGAAGTACCTGAATCTGAATCCTCGGAACATTGAAGTTGTTAAAAGGGAACTTCTCCAACTTTCAACCTGCTTTGTTACAATATCGATAGAATATTAAAGTGAACAATATCATGCATGTTGCCTAGGCCATGATATCCCTGGCTGTGTGCAAAACTACCACAGCCACAGGGGAATCTACTAGACAATAGTTGTAGACTATTGGTTTAGGTGATCTGTAGCTTGGTTGGGTTCTTTCTTACAGAAGATGCAGGTTGGGCTGCTACCCCTTCCTGCCCCGGTTGCTGTCTCTCCGTGCAATCTGTTAATGGTTGTCACTAGGGTTGCAAAGGAGCGGTAAATTTCCAGTAAATTTCCAGAAACTTTCCACGGGAAGTTAAGGTGGGGAATTTTGGAAATACTCCAAATTGGAAACTTTCCATGAGAATTATGGGAATTTATGGGAATTATTGGGAATTTATGTGAATTTATGGGAATTAACTGTAAATTGGGGGTAATTTAAACAAACTGGATCATATCCAAATATAAATATAATATTTTTGTTTTGTCATAAGTAGACATCCATGCAAAATAATACAATTAAAAAACATGACATTTCAACAGAAATATAGTTGGCTAAACAACTGGAATGGTCTTCAAAATATTTGACAATTGATGTATGAATTCTTATATGGTTACAGAAAACCATCTTGCAGGAGTCTGAAGGAACAGCATCACATTTGAGGTAGCTACCGCCACCATAATAAGCTAGCCTCTTAAATGGTCAATGAAATGAAAAATAGCTTACATTTAGCCCCTATTTTTATTTAATATTTCCAAGTTAAAAAAATACTTTTATAGATCAAATATATTTACCCCATAATATTATCAAAATGTACCTTACTTCAGATAGTCCTCGGGCTCAAATGTGTGGCTTCAATAGTCTTGAAATCAGATGTGCATGTGATGGAGGAATGCACAGTGCATGTAGGGGGGTGGCCACAATAGCCCTGCAGTAAGCAGTGTGCTGTGTGCATGTGATTGAAGAGTGTAGGTGAAGTAAATCTGGTTGTTTTAGCTAAGATTATGCTACAATATATTTTCCCCAACTATATTTAAGTTCCCTGTTGAGGGCCCACCTCCAATTTTGTAAATTTCAGATTTATTCCCGTTAATTCCCATATATTCCCGTTAATTCTGAATTTCGCAACCCTAGTTGTCACTGACAAAGCCAGTTTGAACGGTGTATAGATACATCTGTAGATGCACTGGGACACATCTTCATTGATGTTTAGAAAGATATTCAATACCTAGGAAACAAAATGTACTTAAAACACAAGCGTAGGCTCCTTCCATTTATAGTGATGTACACAACTAGCAGTTTTATTTTCATCAAAATGAGAAGAAATCCGATTGGGGGAAAACCACCAGTAAAAGTAATTTTACTGGTGGTTTTCACTAGGGTAAAGTAATTTGAAGGCATAGTCCATTGTGAGGTTCAATGCATACATCTTCATATGCCAATTAAGTTGACATTGCCCAACCCTATACAGTACACTAAGTAATAGCTGTGATAGAGGGAGCGTGGGATTTGAGAGTTATTAAAAGGCTTAACTGTGATTTACTGGAGTCACAATGGATCTTCACCTACACAAACCTGTAATCTAGTTCAATGATTTCCCATTGTTCATTTCATTAAGTCTGATAGTGTGGTAGAGTTGTTTATTGTTTAGTTGTTAATGTATAGTGTACAAGCAATAGTTTATGAAAAGCACAGAAAAGCATGAAACATAAGGCAGTATTTCTGAGAGGTAATCAGTGGGGTTTAGATGCTACAGTGAGTAGATGAGGCTGAAGACCTGCTCTACAAGATACTGTGTTTCTAGCCCCAATATTCAGCGATCAGGCATCCATGTTTTTAAACTGTAATTATCTCATATGCGATGGTCTGGGGAAACTTAATATTCATTTCTTAAAAATATCAAGATTTATGATTATCATAAACTTGATAGTCATAATTTAACTTTGACAAAGTTGTTGAATCTTCTGTGCCAGCTCCAAGCAGTGTAGGATCCTCACTTTCTCTCTCTGGAGCTCCTCAGGACTCACTTGGCCCACCAGCTTGGCAGAGAAGTGGATCAGGTCCTGCATGAAGAGGCCCACAGCCCCTACGGGTGCAGGGGGGGTTTGAGTCAGAGTGCAGGAGTCAAACTGAAAGTTGATGTTCTTGGCCCTAGGAAGGCCTGGTCCCCGCTCCTCAATCCACGTCAGAGGTCTACAAAGACACAGATGAGATGAAAAGTGTCAGACAGCATCATACTGAGCACAAATTCTATATCTAGCCAAATAATGCAATGCTAACTTTTGACTTAAAGACATAATTTATACCATATTACGATGAATGATAGGTTAATCTAAATAGGCTGTAGATTGTGTGGTCTTAGTGGCTGCAAAACTTGCATTAAAAGCTCAACAACACTATTTGATGTTATTCTATTGATTTCATTGTAGTAATGACAACATTCCAATCGCATGATCATAAATGCTTTTCTGCTCTCTATTATTTATAGAATTATCCTGGACAATGTGTTTTTCAGATTATATATGTTGATGTTGATCAATCAGCTCCAAAAGTTTACTCACTGACTCACTCACTCGCTTGTACGTACATACACACACACGCTGGTTGAATGGGTTGAAGTGGACAGTGGAACCCTAAATTGCCCCTAATGGCTTTTCTGTCAGTGAAATGATGTGTGATAGAGAAGTAAATCACTTTGAGTGGCCGATAAGACTAGTAGATCGTTGCATAAATGCAGTCCATATACCTTGTAATATACATGTAAACTTTGACTGTGATGACAGCCGTTAAGTAACCACTGCAGTGGTCTTTAATCACATTGCTAATCGACTGTAACTAGACTCTGAAGTCACAATGTTTATTTCCAATACTTTGTAAGACTCTTTATGCAGTTTTATACTGTAACATAACTAGTGCATTCAAGCTTTACACACTGGGGGCATTTTTCCATAATTATATTGTTTTGGAAATGCAGAAGTACTGAATAAATACTATGCAGTAAAAAAGGTTTGCAACTCTTATTTTGGACTAGGTTGATTTTTCTAAGCTTCTACACTTAATAAAGACATCAAATAATCCCTGTAGACTATAGTAGTTCAGACTACATAACAACTGAGCTCAGACAGAAGTCAGATGTTGCTCTGGTTCAGCAGTATCCTTGTATGATCTCTGCCTCTTCAGATGAGACTA